TATATATATATATATATATATATATATATATATATATATATATTTCTACCTACTTACTGACATTTTAAATCAGTTTAGGGTTACAGCAAACAAGAAATATCTTAAAGTCTGGCCTCAACTATTAACCATTCAGAATTGTGTTTTAGTCTAATAATTATAGATTGGTAAAAATCTTGAAAAAAGAACGATGAAATCAAAAGAATAATTTGAAATATTGTAAATGTTATTATTTTTGTTCATTGTTTTACATGTAACATGCTGAATACGAATATTAAGACAGTATTTGTGTAAAAACTATTAGCTTTTATTGCTTTATAACATTACTTTCTAGTTGATTTCAGAGTTTAAAAAATTTCATTCAGGTTTGTAGGTGAGCCTACAATGTTATATAAAAAAAAGACAGGGCAGTGATCAAAATATTGTATTTTATAACTAGATTATTTAAGATGTGAAGAGTACATTGAAAAAAATATTTCAAATGTGTGCTTCCAGGTAATTAAAAAACATGGCTAAATTGATCATTTTGACAAGCTATTTATGGCACAAAAATTAGAATTTGACATATATAAGAATTATCATTGTCTGGCTAAAAGATCAACAATAATAGACATATTAGAAAATATTTGCCAGGATGTTTTCAGTATTATTTTCTAATTTCTGACAGTCATAGTTCACAATTTTTTTCATTTTGTTTATGGCATGAGTAAGCAAGAAGATCAAACTGTAGTGGGTTTACATTAATCTATTTGTGTTTCTGGCCAGAAGGTCTCCCACTTGAAGAGATGTTGACTATTAAGAGCACTCCAGTTGGTCCAGTAGCTGGTGGAATCATGGCCTGTTTCCTGGTTCTGGCTTTGACTTTCTACTGTTACCGACACCACGTCCAGCGTGGTACGTCATCTCACTACATGCCCTCAGCACCTAACACTACCTTTCCAATGGCTCAGCTGGATAATGAACCAGAAGAACCAGAAATTCATGAAGAACTTCATCCTGGTTTGTATATGGATTCAGAATTACTTGAACTCTCACAGCACACTACAGTAAATAGTGTAATCAACTGAACAGTGAATGTACAGACAGACAGAAATACATGTTAAATAAAATGTACATATACACATATATAGTCCGTAGTGTTTCCACTCTTTCTCATATTCTGCCATATATTACCTTGTATTGGAAAGAGATAGAACACAGATAATATGTTTTTAATTAATGTTATATCTGCTTACTGGAAGTGTTGCACATTTGTCTTTTTAGCTTATTTCTGTCACAAAATTTACAAACAAAACTAAAGTTACTTACAAAACATTGTTTATTAAAGCTTCAAATGAATAATGTTGATTTATAAGAATGAAGAAGAACAGTGTGTTAATTTGTAAGAATGACATTGAATAGTGTATTGAAAATGAACAGTTTGTTAATTTGTAACAATGACAGTGAATAATGTATTGAAAATGAACAGTTTGTTAATATGTAAAAATGACAGTAAATAGTGTATTGAAGTATAATATTGAAGATGAAGTAAAGGAAGTTCTCTCTCTCTTCACAGTAGCTCATTCCAATTTAGTACTGCAAAATTTTGAGAATGCTGTTCCTGTTTCTCCTTATCGTGCAAGTAGTACCTATAGAAGGCCAGCAGGTGGCGAGAGTGACCATGGATACAGTACGATGACTCCCCATGAGGACTCGGAACATATGCCACCTTACTTTGAGCCATTATTGATAGGAAAAGATTGGCACCGTGTCCCAGTGTCTCAACAGTCGAATGAGTAGTTGTAGTCGAGCTTCGTCGCCCGTGCCACATCCTCACCCTCACAGTGTGACACCACCTATATCTTATTATGGGTCCTCTGGGTTACAAGCCAACAGGCATTGGCCCGGTGGGATTTCAGCATTCAGAGACCCATCACAAACTGTTATACCAGAAGTTCCACACCATAGTGAGCATGTAACTCATGCACAGGTGCATATTGTGGACACCCACTAAGTCTTTGTTGTTTTTTGTAAATAGTGTATAGAGTTATGTAGTTCCACACCATGTGGTTAGTTTTGTGAACCTGAAAATCACATTGCTAAAGATTATGATAATTTGTTTGGCTCAATTTCTGTGTGGAAGTGTCATCAGCTCATGATAATTGTACCAAATTAGTCCATAGGTGCCAAGTTGTGATCATGTATGTAATGTTTACTTGCTATTCTAGAGAATAGCAATGGTGATTCCGTATTTTATTTCCTTGAAAAACGGGTTGACTTGTGTCATTTCTGTGAGCTGAAGATAAAAAAACTACTTCATATAACACATTGTAAATTATCTTTGCACAAAACTAAATGTTTAATAATTCTGTGAAAAGATCATTATAAAACAAGTAAATTACGTATGTACAAAACTAAATATTCTGTAAAAATCATTTCATCTGTTATATTTTGCCATCCAGTGTTTTCGTGCCCAAGTACATTGTGTGCATGGGTAGTCTTATTTTAGTTTCAACTATGCAATTGTTTTTAATTAGTAGAGCACATGTGGTCTTCCTGTCTGATGTGTAGTGCCTTCTGTTTATAATAGCTGGTTGAAAGCAGAATGTTTTAACAAAAATATTTAATTACTCCTATATTTTATTTTTAATATATTTAACCAAGACACAAGTGGTATTAACCTTGGAAACACGGGGGTTTTTCCCTCCAAATTTGATAGGTAACATGTTTGTAATTGTGTTTTGTTTTTCTAAAAATAGCTGTGTTGACGTACCAATTACAATGGAATATATTGTTTTGACGTGCAGTGCATTCCTTCCTTATAAAAGTTTCTGTGAGAAAAAAGTGTATATATAACTATTAAACACTAGCAAGCTCTCATCAAGTACTTTGTTTTTCTCTACTTTTTATCGTGAAAAGCAATGAATTTACATACTGCTTTGATCGTGTAGAATTACTGTTATTTATGATTGAGACATCTCTGAATCCTGGTCGCTTGGTACAGCTTTTCAAGCACTTCTGTAACCTCAAATACAAAAATACTGACTGGTTCATGGTTTTTACCACTAGCATACAATAAATAGAAAAAAGTTACCCCTGAAATAATACAAAAATAACTTCTGAAGTAATTCTTTATCCAGACAAGACACTGTGTGTAATGAGTATGTAACTTATAACTGTAGTATTTATGTTATTAGAAATCTTGAATTAAAATGACTACACAGGTGTACATTAATAGCCTTGTGAATGTATTGAGCTTTTAATGTGTAGGTATATGTAGCATACAAATTTTTTGAGATACAATATTGGTGAATTTGAACTCATAATATGAATGAATTGCTTAATTAGTTTAGAAATTTTGTAAAGGATAGTTGGTAATTCTTGACTTTCAAACTGTTTAAACATTTAAAAGTAGTTTGTCCTATAAATTCATATAGATACAGTAATCTATTTGATGTCAATACTCTTCATGGAGGTTACTTGAAATTCTATGTCAGTCAATAATCCCAATATAAATACAGTTTTATAGATGTCAAGTGGATAGAAAGTGATTTTGGACTGTAAAGTTATTATACAATTGCAAAGGAAAATCAAATCTTGTGCTTATATGTTCTGGCATTTTTATTTTCTGGTTTTTTTGTAAAATAGGTTATTTTACAGTATTTAAATCTAATATCTTCCATATTTTTATAACCCAAAGAATACTTAACTTCAGTGCAGTTAAGAATCACTAAAACAATTTGGATAAAATGTATTAAGTTTTCCCATGCTGAACATGTTTTACTAATATGGGGGGGGGGGAGAGTTTAATTTAGCTGAGCATATGAAAAGTGTTGCTCATGTATTAAGAGCCTGTACATCTGTTTAATATGAGTAAGAAATACTTGGATTGAACCCAACTGTCAAGCATTATATTAATAGAATATAGTTGTATATTTGGGCTTATACTTTTTGAGTTGAAAATGAACACATTTCTCGATGAAAATTAATTTTTCAAGTTGCTTATTTTTCACTATCTAGATGTATGTTGTTTCTTTTGTACACTGAAAGTATAGAAAAGATGCATGTGACAATGACCAGTTGAAGTCAGAGTGTACAGATTAAATTTCATTTTTATATTTTAAAACTGGAGTTGTTTAAATCGCTTCTCTCCATTTTTATGACTGAGCAGTGGTTGAATGTTTCCACAAAAAGTTGGACTTAAAAAATAGAGTTTTGTTATTGTATTAAAACTAAAAACAAAATGTTTGCCAGAGCTTATAATGCAGAAATGTGGGGTTTGATCCCTGTAATCGGCACAGCACAGATAGTCCATTGTGCAGAGTTGCAATAATAAATTAAGATAAATTGACAAGTTAGGTTTAAATTGTTGAACTGAAGCCTTCTATTAACACCCTTACACTGTTAGTCTTGTTCAACTATGGTTCTCATTATTAACAAAAGGGGCTTAAATGTCATACCTTGTTACAATTTAAGTATCGTTGCTATTACTTCCTCAGAAATGTCCTTAAGTTAATAAAAATACAATTAGTGGAGATGTTTCGTAAAATGAAGGATACGTTTAATAATAAAAAGTATAAAATCGTACATAAACCAAGTAAAGCCTGCAACAACATACTCTATCGAAGCTAAAATATTAAGTATAATTTAATTTGGACTTAACAAAATATATAGTGAGCATAAAGTAATTAGCTAAAACATTAATCACAGCAATAAAAAAAAAAGAGTAAAACCATTTTATTTTATGAAGTAACTTGGTGACTATTTCTTAATACATAGTATTTTTAGCAAGGATAAAGGGGGGAATAAAACTTAGAAAATTTCACATTTTAAAACTATAAAATATCCTTTATCATCAGAGTTTGAGAAATGATGAATTAACACTTAAATTGCTAACATATGCTGCTTATTTTTTTAATAAGGTTTACAGAACTAGTGGTATGCTTAACCAATCTGTGAATCAGCTAGGTGGGTTGGGAGGTTTTTCTAAACTTTAGTATATTCACATAATTTTGTATATACACAAAGTACAGAAACTTTGATGTAGTCATAGAAACATCAATAGCCAGAAAGTATTGTTTATAGGTAGATGTTGTGGGGTTCAGCATCTTAAAAACAAAATGATTTACCTACGTCAATTTTTTTTTTATTGTCTTAACTCAAAGAAAAACAGGCTGAGTCTATGACACCTGGGAGGATTAAAAACAAATAGAGAAACTGCATTTCACTAGAATTAAATCTACAGCAACAAGAAAACTTCAGTTACTTTAATGTTTTTAGTTTGTTTGCATCAATTTTGTGCAAAACTACACGAGGGCTATATGCCCTAGCTGTCCCTAACTTAGCAGTGTAAGACTAGAGGGAAAGCAGCTATTCATCACCACCCACTGCCAGCTCTTGGGCTACTCTTTTACGAATGAATAGTTGGATCGATTGCAACATTATAATTCCCCCATGGCTGAAAGGGCAAGTATGTTTGGTGGGACGGGGAGTCGAACTTTTGACCCTTAGATGCGAGTCGAATGCCATAACCACCTGGCCATGTCAGGCCTGTTATAGCAAAGCCATATCAGGCTGTCTGCTGTGTCCACCGAGGGGAATTGAACCCATGATTTTAGAGTTATAAATCCCCCTCGGAATTGAACCCATGATTTTAGAGTTATAAATCCTAAGACTTACTGCTACTCCACCGGAGGAAACGTTTTTAGATGGATCCAACTTTTTCACAAACTTTTAATAACACCAGTCCCAGAATCCTTCTCACTGGAAAACGTTTAAACGTTTTCAGTTTTATCATGGAAGTACAACTACATAATGAGAAGAAACCAGAAGTCACTTGCCAAATTTCATAAGTTCTCAAAATAATGAGCTTTCAGAAACTGGTTCAAAATAGCAGATGCCCTCTAGTGTTTCCATAATAGACACAACAACCCTTGCAGTGGCAGACCTCCCAAGAGGCCAGAATCCATATCAGCATTGTTACAGTTGTTGAAAGTTCCTGTATATCTAAACCAGTGATGTCAGAAAACTTAAGAAGAAAATGACATGCTTACAGAAGGCTGTGTGGGTGAGGTTAATTTTTTTTTCTGAATGGGGAAAAAAAAATATATCTTTTGTCCTTGATTAAAAACTAATTATAGTGGTTTAAGGTGGACCCTTTACAACAGAATGTCTTCACATCGACAAGGCTTAACATCATAAGATAGAGTTTAGATATTCTTCATGTAGAGAGACTTGCTGCTGTGACATAGTTTTATGGGTTTCAAATTTTGGTTTATAATGATATGTTTGACGAAAATTTATTGTGGTGGACTTAATGAGGGGAGGCCATAGACCACAAACTGAGAACCTCTGCTATAAGATAACTAGATGACAAGGCAAGTGATCATGGGAAATGCAATCATATGCAAAATGTTCCAACATCATACCATACAGGTAAAAACTTAACTGTGTAGGAAGCAAAAAACTAGATGAAAACAGATGTCACTACAAGGACCATGAGTAAAAAAAGTTCCTATTATTATAACAATCTCTGTGGACTTGAAATTGGACAAATGTTATATACTGATTATGCACATTACCCCCCTTTTTTTTTTTTTTTACACTGTAGGATGTAAAATCTAACTGGTGTTGACTTTGAGACAAATTGATTTTACTTACTGACATCTTACTTAGATTCTCTCTCTCTCTTCAAAAATCAAAGATAATGTGAGGATGTAGCATTTGACCTATTTATATACTTATAATATGATTGGTCAAGTTTGACATTGGCTGGCTGTCATCTTCACGTGCATTTTCCATCAAAAATAAAACAAAATGCACTGTTAAAAAAATGGCTACTTGTATTGGAGTTAGTCATCTAGAGATCTTAAAGTTTTTGTCACTGTTTCTTCAGGACAGGAAATCCACTGATGTCACAACCAAAAGCAGGGTTCAAACTGCCAATTAAAGCACTACATTTTATGAAAAACATGGATAAAACAAATGCTAGTACAATGAAAGATGAGTACTCAAGAAAAAGTAAATTTATAGGGGATGTTTATCAAAGAACCATCTGAAACTGCAAGAAGAAAATATGGAGAATTCCCCAATCAGTACTTACAATGGTTATTGGATAACATCAGTAAACGGTATCTTAGAAGATGCTGCCATGCACAATCCTTTATCAAAGCCATCAGAAGAGAATGAAAGAACCCTGTTTGAGTGGAGTAAAATTTTGAGATTGTACAACAGCAAGACCATGAATACAAGTTCTTTAAGCTCCGTTATCAGAGAATATATAAATATATATGTGGGAAACAATCTGAATGAGCTGATGTTGGTGTAATTCCTGCATCTACTGCAAAGCATGAATGTAGATTTGGTGCTATGAACTTTGTACTTAAACATATGAGAAACTGAATACTAGTAAGCACTGCCAACAACTTTTTTTTTCTTCAGTTAGTAGCCCCTCCCCTCGATGTTCAGAAAAGTGGTTCACAGAAGGTCATCACTTTGCCATGGATAACCCAACAGGAATCAAAAGAACGAACCCCTGCAAAATAGTAACCAAGTTGTAGTAAATTCAAGAAGATTATTATCCGAGCTAATATAGTTGTAATTTTGCACAAATAAAAAGAGGCATGATGGTTAACATTCTTTTCATTTGAAATAGGGCATATTGTTTAAATATGGAGTTTTATTTCCCCCTTGTAGCACAGAGGATATATTTATGCTAAGTTTATTTTGAAGATCTAAATTTTAAATAAACAATATAATCATTTGCATTCAATAAAATATTATCAAAATGCAGTTTTATACAGAATGCTTAAACTCCAATGAATTCATGGTTGCTAAGGCCCTGCTCCAGACTCTGCTGTGGGAGCTTATCATGCTCTCCTTGATCCCCCAGCCAGTTTTTATATTTATTCCACTAAATGTTTAATAAGTTGCACCCTGTCTAAAATTACTTTATATTCTTTGTCTTCTATAAGTGAATCACCAATTCTTCAAACCTGATGAAAAAAGCATAACTGATGTTAATCACATTTTTTCTGGGTCATTTGTCTTGTGTACATAATATCTATATCTTTGAATGAAAAATGCATATATACATAGGGAAACTGGGTCCACTCATCACTACCTTTACCATATGCATTGAAAACAGTCAAATGACGTATTTATTTAATATAACAATATTATAGAATAGCACAGTATTCTACTGTTTGACAGCATAAAATAGTAAAGATTTGCTAAAGACCCATTAGAACAGTCCAAAAGTCAATTTCAAACAAAATAGAACTTCCTTAATAATTATTAATGTTACAACCTTTTTAATTTTGAAATTTATAGGAACGGTATGATCCGTGAAATAATGAGCCATCATTCTGCAAAGTTCTGAGGAGCAACCCTCACCGATAAAGCACAAAATATGTAAACTGTCTATGAAGGAGGATCTTTCACTATTATTTATCTAAATCTAACTATTTAAGCTTTACTTTACAAAAGTTTTATAATAACTCAGGAACCTTTAGTGTGCACTAAATTTCTGCAAGGCTTTTTTTTTTTTTTTTACCATTCCAGTCATTTTTACCACTAATGTTCTCTTAATTTCACATCCATTTAACATATTTTGACATATGGTTACCATACTAAAGGAACTCCATAATTATTTTTATCCCCCCCCCCCCCCAAAAAAAGATCATTGTCACATATACTTGTGACTGAAAAAGAAGTCATGAAACAAATGTTATATACTCATGGAATGTATAAGTAATATAGAATCATCAAGAACACTCGTGTTATCACATCATAATAATAATAATACTGCCCAAACTACTTACTAAAAAAAAGTTATTAGCAAATGAGCTCCTTAGTTACCAGAAACGTGTAAAAAGATGATAGTTAAGTTTAAATTTTAAGACTGAGAATATAGAATGAAATTAATAATCTTATACAAAATTTGCTTGAATAAAATTGAATGCACTACACAAAGCAAAAATCAAGATTAGAACAATAGTTTATAACACTACACATAGGAGTCCAATATATGTATGTATGTATGTATGTGTGTGTGTGTGTGTGTGTGTGTGTGTGTGTGTGTGTGTGTGTATATATATATATATATATATATATATATATATACACACACACACACACACACA